TGATAGCCCGCGCTTTTTTAAAAAATAAAATGTTGAGAATTTTCTCAACTAAACTGGAAATTTTTTTTTATAGTCTGAAGCGTTTTATAAAATTTCGAGAAATTATTATTTGATTGGTTGGTGGGTTTTTTTTCCAATGTTGATCACATTTCTTTGACATGAGAGGTAGACGTTAAAACCTCTAAGATTTATCAACTTGTAGTTCTATTCAGTTCAGAAATTATCAGCCTAATATCACTGTTGAGAAAAATTTCGGTAATGCCTCTTGTTTCGTAAACGAGGAAGTGACACTTCCAAAACGTTTTTTGCAGAATAAAAATGGAGCTCTTTTGACAAATTCTTTTAAATTACACAGGCAAAACTTCATTTATTAGATTTAGCTACCACATTAAAGTCAATAGTCGAGGCTCTTTCTATCCTTGCATCCTCTGTTTTCATTTTCTGTGAGACCGCAGGACTGGAATTCAACCTGAGTGACAAAGTGTCACAACAGCAACCCGTCCGTTGACAAGACTATCGACAGCTCCCTCATTCGACAGGCTAGATGATGGAGGTGCTTCAGTAAGGGAGCTAAACCTTCAACATTCGGTTTGAGAGCGGCGCTGCTTGACACAGCTCCGTGTCCGTCAGCGGTTAGTGCATTGAAAATATATATATTATTATTAGACGTGGAACGTAAAAGTTTAAGACTCAGTTCATGAAAAAAAAAAAAAAAGAGGAGCATCGGATGTGCTACTGGCTCAGAAAAATTAATAGCATAGGTGGCACAAGAAATTCAAGTTCGAAAATACGAAAATCGAGAAATGCCTAAATACTTCTAGCTTGCCAGGGCAAACATAATGAACTGCTATTCAAGCACTACAGCTTGAAAACTTTTTATAACTATTAAAGTACATTTTTTGCTGATTGGTTGTTCTGTTAAGTACTTAACAAAATATTCTGAACAGGAAAGGCGTCCGTTGCTCAGTATTCTGTTTGCAGAATTGGACAGTTTCTGCGCCTGGATGACAACGGGTCATGGCAGCAAGAATGTTTTCGTTTCAAAGATTCCGTAACTCACTCACATGACGAAAAAAAGAAAAACATTAAGTTATGGTGGAAGAACGAATACAGCGACGAAGATTATGTGCAATTCGTGTAAGTTTCACAAATCACCGGGTAAATGTGAATTTTCAGTAATTACGCTCTGAGTTGCGAAAGCGCTAAGAGAAAATGCAGGGGCTAGGAAGCAAAATATAGAAATTAGAGCAAGGCTTGCCTTTTGTCTTCTTGGATGGTTTAGCAAGAAAAAACATTTTTTTTTCTGGTACAAACCACTGACTTATGCTAAAATCACGAAAATTCATTTCAGCTTTCTTTGTGCTTTTGTAGAAACAAACTAACAACAAGGCTCATCATTTTTAGATCTAACTGCGAACCCAACATAAGCAGACGTTCTTTTTGCTTTGAAACAGCGTCAAGACCGCTTACACCGGAGCTGAACAGCGGGTATTTAGCATTCAAAAAACAGTTTTGAAGTTTGCCTTCTCTGTATAAACTCCGAATCTAGCTTCCGAAAAAGGCATTAAATCCAATCACACAGTAACAAACTACGCTGCGGTGTTAAAATTAGACTTCAAATTGGTCAGAAAACAGATTCTGGCAAAAAAAAATTTTTTTCCTTGAATGAAAATAATCGAACTTTTTTGAAATCGTTACTTAAAGGCGAAAAACGCTTAGACCGAAAGAAACTAGTAATTTGCAGAGCAACTGTTGTGAAAGCGCAAAAGATGTTTTGGGTCAAAGCGGTTAAGTCGGTACCAATTCCGCCATGTCGCTATGAACGCAACGGCATCCAGAACTATTCACCGGATCCAGTAACACCACCACCTCCGGTTCGTCCTTTTGTGGAAAGAATTGGTTTCTAACAGCTTACCGTTATATTTATTAAAATTTCGAAATTTTGTTACACTGTGTCTGTGTGCTGTTATTTTTCCGATTTTCATTTTGAGTGCGTGATTGATTCTGGGAATTGCTGTTTGTACCCTGTTCCGTTTGTGATACTGAATTATTAACATAGGTTCTTAGTAAAAATAAATTTATCCAATTTATTTGGCAGAAAGTTAACGATGAACTTTTCTGCACCGGCATTAGGAAGAAAGCAGACACCGCTCGAAAAAAATCTAAGTTTTCGCCTTTTATTTTTTCTGGAAAAACTTCAGCTGCAGAAATAAACAATTGCCATTTTTCACCAAGATAAAAGTTGGCTAGAAGAAGCAAAAACAGTCAAAAAGCTTTCATATATTAAACTAAATAGAGTCAGGAGAAACACCTTAGAGCATCTACATAATTCGTTATACTAAAACTGCTGAATCTGAGGTTAAAAAAACAATACATTTGCTTTTTTTTCTAGTTTAAGCCGTTCTTTTGCAAAATTACCATGCAATAATTTATCTGAACCCAGATTTCAAAGCGCACCAGGAGGGTGATGCGATCATGCACTTTGCAGCCAAATAATCTCTCTGGCCTTTTGACAAAAGAAATTTGAGCTTCCTAGCTACTACGGGCTGCTTAGAGTTTCCTCCTGAAATTTGAGCCTCCTAGCTTTCCAAGTTTCTGGGTTAGTAGCTTTTACGCCAAAAATTTCACATGTCCTTAAGACAGAGACGTGTAGGAAAGTTGATACCACATTCCTGGAGTTGCAGTTAGCCGGAAACGCAACAGTAAAATTCCAGCACCTAAGCTTGCTCGACTGATAAGCTAAAATACCCGGACACACGAACACACACCCAGACGCACACATGGATAAACGAGCACACACACGCAAGCACACATACACATATAAACAGAATCGTTACAAAATGCTTTTTTGCTGACTGTTGCAGCGCTAGAGCGAAAAAAGATATGGCAAAAATCGGCCAAAATTTGATTTTTTTTTTTTAAGTTTTGAAAACAATCTGCTTTGTCGAATAAGTTCTCAATTTGATAACACTCATGGCTGTCAATAGTGCGATATTTAAGAAAACTATGAGCAGTTTCAAAAGTCGGGAAGCATGGAGACGTTCACGGGTACGAATTTGGTCGCGAGCTGTATCTCAGAGTGTCAGGCGGTGAGTTATCAGTAAATGGTGGATCTGTGAGCGACTCACATGGTTCCCAGCTTTTGCTCACAACCAGTCGTCAGGTGAACATTTCTTTAGCTTCGAATATAACAACAGCCGGATTGCCCGTTTACGCCGCAGCAAATTAAGCCCTTTCCAATTTCTTCGAACCTTCCCTGTCAATTTTTTCAAACCTTTCCGGTCAATTTTTTGCTCATTCTTAGCACCCCTAGATTCATTTTTCTGCATTCGCTAAAAATAAACGCTACGTAGTTAAATTTTTCTTTTAAGTTTCAAATTTTCAAGTCGAATTTTACACTCTGCTATGTCGAATAAATTTTGAATTTGGTAACACTCATGGCTGTCAAAAGCGCAATATTTAAGAAAACTATGAGTAGTTTCAAAAGCTCGGAAACATTTCAAAAAAACTTTCAAAATATTTCGATAAAGCTCTTACTCCGAGCACTCTTCTAGCGAAGCTTTTTTTTAAACCGACAGCTAAAATGCACCTCACCTCCTGAAACTGCATGGGACCAGTAAAATGAGCAAAATCTACATCGAAATATATCTATTAGATACTCAAGCCCCCACTTTGTTTCTGAAAATTGCATTTTTCTTGGTTCTTCATATCACATTAGGAGCTGGAATACGGCAACTGCCGTTACCTAAACCAAGGGTAAGGAAAGCTTAGAAAGAGAGAGAGAGAGAGAGAGCGTGCAAATGCTCTCTTTTTTTGAGATTTGCGTAAAATGCTCACTTCTATTAAAGATATTAGCACTCTGCTGCTTTTCTTGCTTCATTCTGCAGCAATAATTTATTAAAGCGTTTGTTAATATACCTTCAGAAGTTTTGATACAAAACCCTTGGCACCTCTTCCCAATTTTCTTATCCATCCATTAATACTGGCAATTTCCTCCGAAAATTCTTTTTTGTAAAAAAAAGGAAAAGTTTTTACCCAAGAATACGCGACTTTGCCAACAGTTGTTGCATCACAGAACTTTTTATTACTAATTGTGGAAAGACCAACCCAAAATCCGTATCTATATTTCTTTCGATTATCCAGCAAAATAGAGTTAGGAAGTAGTTCCTTTCTACTTTTTTCCCAAATGCTCTGTGCAAGATTAACTTCGTTTTACCACTTACCCGTCACTATTTGAACACCGAGTAAAACAGCCTTCTAAATAGGTTCTATATGATAGATTGTAGGCATCACAACTGATAGCGCCACTCCTGCGTACTAATAAATATTAGTTCAAAGCTGTCGTGTTTATACATCTATTAAACTGCTGTCGATGTACTTGAGAATTTTGCAGACACGTCCCGTCTTTTGTTTTTTTCCCACAAGTGATCAAAATTCAAGTCAATATCTGCAAAGAATCATATCATGTCAGTTAAAAAAAAATTGTCTTTTGCCATCGTCTACAGTCAAATACAAAGTGAGTTTTGAAAAGTACGGCTTATGAAGCAATTCCTGAATATTCTGTTTAACAAACAGCAACGGGGGAACTTTAATAAGCACTCTTGGAACCGGTTTACTAAGAACGACGAGCATTATTTCAGAACGACTTTCGAACAAACATAGACAAATGCTTGAGACATTCGAATAGCATCGTAGTGATAAGCCTTTGGCAAAAAGATGGAGCTCATAAAATTTGGCTTCTAACCAAAATGACGAATTTACTAAAAAAATGTTTGTTGTAAAAGCGGCTAACTTCATCCGATCATGTTCCTTTCAAGATGATACCATATTAAGTAATGGCAAGTCCGTTTTGTACAAAGGAGGCAGAGGACGAACATAGGAAACCGTTATTTCTTTCACCTCCCGTCCCGTAAGAAGGTATTAAAAATGCTTGTGCAAGAAAAAAATTCAGATTTTGTAACGGGCGAGAGATTTGGCCAAAATGGCATTGAAACCAGTTGTGATGTGCTGCAGTAAGTCGAAAAAAAAGATGGGGAAAAAAACTGGCGATAAATTGCTAGGAAAGGCTTATCAAAGCAGAATGTTGAGGAAGAAATCAGGGCACGTGCCCAGAAGTTCCAAAATTGAGGTGCATACCTCCTTCGACAAAAGCTTGCTGAGCTACTGCAACCCTATCTTATCAAGAAGAGGATCTTTTTGCCGAAAAATTTCAAAGCTTTTTGAGAAAGCCACTTGAAAAGCATGTTCCTCAGGTAAACATGTGGGATGAGAATTTTTATATCAGTGAGAGGAAATCAGATTTTTAGCATAAATGATGGCGTTCCGGCAAAAACACATCCGCTTACTGTAACTTAGCAACAGATCAAAAGCATTGGTCTGAATAAGGCACGCATATTTTAACGTATCTTTAGGTCAAGGTAATATGGTCATTCAGTTGTCTCCTGAATGAATTTTATGAGTTCGTGCTACATTTGAGTTAAATGCTATTTTTGTTTTTGTTTCTGTGCTACATTTTTATCACCTATTACTGTTGATGTAAAGCAGTACTCCTGCCTGTGACTAGTATTTTATATTTTTTTTACCAAAGTAAAAGCAACTTTTACATTGGTTTTTTACGGAATGACTACACATTTTTGGAACATGATGTGAAGTCTTTCCTCGTCGAAAAGACAAACCCAATAAAACATAGCAACGGCAAAAGTTGACACTTTTCCGGCGTAAAAGCAATTCAGTTCACTCATTTTTCGTTCAAGACATCTCCGATGTTGATCCGTCAATTTTCATACTGCCCAGGAATTTGCACGGTTTTACCAAGCTAATAGACAGCAATGTCGTAAAACAACCAAAATTGTCCAGAGTTAAGATACTTGCCAAATCCAGGCATAATGTAGTTATCGCAGTAGCTTTTTGGAGCAAAAAAAAACTTGGACATTAAAAGAATCAACTCAGTATTTAATCCATTATTATAAGAGTGAACCAGAACCGACGATTTTTTCTGAAGTACTAATTGAAATCGTTCCTGTATTTGTATTTTTTAAAAAAAAAGTTGAGGTTTTTCATGTCAGTGTACAGGTAGAGTTTAAAAATTCCCTTGAAAATTTCAGATAGTAAAAGGTAATATGAGTGTGCGTTTAGGTGAAGCAGTTCAAAATGGAAACATTCCGAATGTTCGATGCACTGGATAACAGCTTGCAGCACAATCTCCTCGAATACGTTCCGAACGATGCAGACCGTATACCAAAGCCCCAGAAAATCCAAGACTTTTTCCGGGTATGTTTCTGAGAAGTTTTCAAACATTGGTTTTTTGCTTTTTCAGCTTATGGAACAAGAATAGTTTTTTTTTTTTTTAAACAGTTCAGTATTTGAATACGATGTTCTTCAGAGAAATTCTTGAGCAAGTTGCAGAATCTGAGGTGCCAAATTTGGCACTTTGAGAAAAAGCTACGCCCTGCGACAGAATTGGTGCCTCGCCTTGTTTTTGCCACCGAGTTTTTTTTTTTTTTGTCAAACAAAATTATGTCTAAATACAGCATTGCTTGACTCCAAGCACTTTTCATATTTGTAAAATATTCTCGCTGATCTTTAGAAATATCAAGACAAAGTAAATAGATGAATTCAATCTTGAGTATTTCTTTTTCCGTAACGGTCTCATGAAACAAAAAAAGAATTACGTATAGCTACTTTTCCACTTTTTATACCTCTTTAACCAAAATCAGTTCAGTTCTGCTGATGTGGACCATTCAAACCTACCGTAGCGAAACCAAATCCAATGTTCAACTGTTTAAAATTCCCGGTTTCTCGACGACTGTTTCATGAACGACTGTACTTAAACACTGCACAGACCAAATTCACTTCGAACATGAGTCGTCCGGGATCCGATGGCAATCCAATAACTTATCAAAACACAGCGCCTTATTCCTCATTGCTTTAGATTTTAGTTTAATTTGCTTCTTGCATTTTCATTTGTTTTTTGACTTTTTTCCTTTGACAACAATACCACACAGTAACGTGGGAAGCAAACAAATTGACTTAGGTGTCTGCTCTCCTAACTAAAAAGCTGCAGTAGAGTCCCGGCTCCAAACTGTTCTTGCTCGTACGCGAGATCTAGGCATCTCTCAAAAATGAATTTAAAGTTTAAAGACTAAAGACTCTTATTTAAAAATAATAGAAGATCCTTGCAGAATTCCAGTTTCCCAGCTGGACATAACAAAAGCTCACTTCTATCTCAACCTTCAAAACAAGTCCATCCTTTTCTGATTTCGTCATCTACTCTCGTTCATCATGTTCATTGTCCAAATTGTGTTTTCACTG